ACCAGGGTGAGTAGTTGACACTTTCTCAAATTGTAATGATATTAAACTGTCAACCTTGCATAATTTTGATGGTTAAATACGAAAAATAAGTTCGTTATTTTTGGCAAAACATCAAGATATAAATTGAAGTCACCAGCACGAGTACTCCTGCTTAATTGTAAATAATAATATATAAGTTAATATAAATCATATAAAATTGGGAAGTTTTGCCGTGATCTCCGTTTAACGTATGCTGTTCGTGAATAGCATAGTCATTATAGAGTACTTGCAAGCTGTCACTATTAATAAAAAATAAACATGTCTGACAAGTTTGTAATCTCTTCAGTTCTACTTCAAGATCTTCTGCGTTCGGAATGTTTTTAGATGGTAGAAAAGATCTGAAATGTAATATTTGAAGTCCTAAAGCCAACATTGGGTGTAATCTTTTACAGCGGTTGTAATGCTTACCTTCAATGAAACCTAAAACCGATCCACTAGCAATTTCAGTGTCAACCATAATGGTTGTCAAATCACAATGATTAATTATTTTTCCAATAGCTTTAAAATAAGTAATCATAATATGAAACGTACCCAAATGAATAAATAATTTTTTAAATGTGTTACATTCTGTTGCTTGTAGCTGTAAAGCAATCTTTGCGATTGCTAAATCATACGTTACTTGCATGTACTCTTGATTTAGATCTTGCAATGCAGACATGCATTGCTCCACAGTTGCCAATACAACAGAGTAAGTCATAATTATCAAAAGGCCATTCCATTCGATCGATTCTCATCTCGATTTATCGACCTCCAGTTCGCGAAACTGAAGAAAACGTTGCTTCAGTTTCAAGCTCTTCAATAGCGTTGTAACTGATATAATGCCCGTAAGGATTCATTACATCAACCACCTTACGACTGCTGGGAAGACTTTTTAATGCTATTCCTAGGTAAATATGTTTCGAAGTCTTAATATTACCATTGTGTATCATATAAATCATGTCCTGTGAGAAAGAATTTACGTGGCGATCAAAAGTTTCGTAATTACGGCGTTGACGCTTATAGCTTCCAATAACTAAGGATAAAAATTCAGAAACCATTGGTGGTGTTACACATTCACTTTTTATCAGTCGTTCACTTGTCAAGAAATCAGTTAATTTCCTTTTTATCCCCAGAATCTGCTTTCGTAAAATGGCGGCAGCTGCTTGCAAAGTGTCTTGGTCTTTCAATTGTGCAAATAATGAATCATCAATGATTGAGACACCTTTTGGAACAATAAGCTTTTTGTTGTTGGACATCAAAATTTTTAAATCATCACCAAATTTATTATACATTTTTAGTTCAAGGTATTGCGGTGTGAATATGAACTTTTCGTTTCATTAACATACATATTTCTTCATAAACAGTGTCATGAATTTCTCGAAAAATGTGCCATAAAGTACCGACAGACATTTTCAATAATGATTTATTCCTAAATGTTTATTCCTACAATTTCGCCGACACACCTCATCATAATATATTTGAAAAGAAACAACACTTTGAGTTTTATTCCAAGTTCGTTTATTCATTCAAATCGGGATCAAAATAGTTTTTCAAAATTTTTTTCAGAGACGCGTAAGGACTCAATCTTGTTCTTTTTTTAATACAAAAGAAACACAATTTCTGATTTGCTACAACTAGTGTATCAGAACACTGCTAATGTTGTTGTGTGAATCAAAACACAACTAGTGGGGTGCATGGCATTGTGCCTTAAGGCAAATTGCTGGAACTTCCCGTACCAAAAAAATTTTTTTTAAAAGATTAACATTTTTGAAAAAAAATTTACTCTAAAAAATTTTTGACAAAAATTTACTTTTTTGGAAGAAGACTTTTTAAAGAAAAGTGTATTTTGTAATATTTTGGAAATTCTGAACTTTTTAGCTTACCGTAGGGCAAGTTATAGTAATCGCAAAAAATCGAAAATGAAAATTTTCATATATCTTTAAGTTTCAGAGGTTTCTGAACATTTTGGCATACCTTAAAAAAAATGGATGTATGTGTGTGTGTGTGTGTGTATGTATGTATGTATGTATGTACGTGTGTGTATGTATGTGCGGATACAAATTTTCGTCGATGATTTCGGGAACACGAATCAACCGATTTGAATAATTTAAAAAACATTCGTATTGATAAGGAGACGTGCTGATTAGTTTTTGGCAAAGGCAGGTCTAGCCGTTCCGAAGATACGAGGCAAAAGGTGCCAAAAACGGTACCTCCGTTTTTAAGAGAACGGAGCGTCCGATTTGAATAATTCAAAGAACATTTTACTTGTATTGACAAGATGTAGAATTGGCCAAATTTTCATGAAGGCAGGTCTAGCGGTTTCGGAGATCTAATGAAAAAAGTAAAAAAAATGCCATTCGGCGGTTAAAAATGATCATTAGACAAATGCACATCAAATTATCAGATATTTTATAGAGATTTTAACAATAAGTATAATTTTTTTTTACATTTCTATTGGTTCCGTACCAATGCTTATGCGTTAGACGGCGGCGCGGCACTTGCGAGCTTTTACATTTCGTCTCTATGCAGTTCAAGCAGTGCGATTGCTTTGAAAAAAAATTCAGAATTTCCAAAATATGTCAAATTGAAGAAAACATTTTTTTTCAAAAAATTTTTTTGTCTTCAAAAAAAATTTTTTTTCTCAAAAAAAATTTTTTTTTATTCAAATAAAATTTTTTTTTTTTCAAAAAAAAGTAATTTTTTGTCAAATTTATAGTTTCTCAAAAATCTATTTTTTTTTCAAGTAAAATTTTTTCAAAAATGTTAATCGTTTTTAAAAAAATAATAATTTTTGGTACGGGAAGTTCTAGCAATTTGCCTTAAGGCACGATGCTCTAATTGCCTTAAGACAGATTTCCACTTACAGCTAGTTTTCAAAGCAATCGTACTGCTTTAACTGCATAGAGACGAAACATCGAAGAGGGTACGGAACCCATAGGAATGTAAACAAAATTTATACTTATTGTTAAAATCTCTATAAAATATCTGATAATTTGAAGTGCATATGTCTAATGATCATTTTTGACCGCCAGATGGCGTTTTTTTACTTTTTTTACTAGATCTCCGAAACCGCTAGACCTGCCTTCATAAAAATTTGATCGGTTCTTCATTTTGTTAATACATACATGTAAAATGTTTTTTGAATTATTCAAATCGGAGGCTCCGTTCTCTTAAAAACTGAGTTACCGCTTTGGCACTTTTTGCCCCATATCTTCGGAACGGCTAGACTTGCCTTCGCCAAAAACTAATCAGCACGTCTCCTTATCAATACGAATCAAATGTTTTTTGAATTATCCAAATCGCTTCATCCGTGTTCCCGAAATCGTCGACGAAAATTTGTATCCGAACACACATACACATACGCACACATACATACACACACACATTCAACAAAAAAAAAAAAAAAAACAAAATTTTCTCACGTCAGAAATTAGTTATTTTGTCGTACAAAATTTATAATTAGTTCCATCAGTTTTAATAAGTTACTAATAAGTCAGTGAGCTGAGTGATCCTCGCCTCTGGGTGCAGGTAGAATTTTTGTTAAAATGATCCCCATCAGAGGGGACATAGTGTCAAACAATGCTGGTGATGCAATCAATGAATCACACAATAATTTGAACACAACGCTATGTCCAGGTATATCAGATATAGCCCAAAACCCGCTGACCAGCTCATGCGACGGTATGACTAGTAAAGTAGAACCAGTGGCTGAACTGTCACATATAATTCCGGAAAATGTCATTTTACAACGGAATGAGTCATTGAAGTGCCTTGAGAATCTGATAAATGAACTGCATATGATTGTCAAATCAAAGTCAAACATACATAAAGAGGTGAAAATAAAAACAGGCAACATAGCGGCCGTAATTAAAAGATTTATTGATTTAGACAACCAATTGTTAGAGGAAAAAGGCCGAACCACGGATGATACGGAAGTTATGATAAATGAAGTGCAATGTTGTGAGACAGCCCCTATAGAAAAAAGTGTACGGCAGGACACAAGCAAAGCCACAAGAAACCGAAACTCACAACATATAAGCAATAATCAGGTTAATGAGAAAAATGGTTTGCCAAGACGTCAGACGATCATAGAAATATGTAATGAAGAAGAAATCGAGGTAAATGAATGGCATAAAGTTCAGCCGAGAAAACAGAAAAAAAAGGAAGCAAGGGTACATCTGTCAGAACAGGACTCTAACCATAATATGATAAAAAATCATAGAATTTTTCCAAAACCAAATGCCTTATTAATCCGGCCGACCGAAAAAGTTAATTATTCCGAAATATTACGTCGCATCAAACATGATGTCCCTGATGACAAGGTAAATACGACAGTAGACAAAATAAACAAAACCAGAAATGGAGACTTGTTGATAACTATTTCTAAGAAAAGTGAGGATAAAGGCCAAGGACTGCAACAGATTATCGCAGGTGTGTTAAAGGATGAGGCCGAAGTTATTTATAAGGGCACCAAGAAACTATAGAAATAAGGGATATTGATGATAAAACCTCAAAAATTGATGTCCAGATAGCACTATAAAAAGCAACCGGGGGAGCCTGCAACACACCAGCAGAAGAAATTAGGCTTCGTAAGGCATATAGAGGTACCCAGATTGCTACTGTAGCTCTTCCAGCGGCAGTTGTACACGATCTGCTCAAAGTATGTGGCAAAATACGAATTGGATAGGTCAACTGTAAATTAAAATCATCAAGAAACCAATTCGATGTTTTAAATGCTGGCTATTCGGACATTATGGATTACAGTGCAAGAGCGAAGTGAATCGGACCAATCTATGCTTTAGATGTGGACAAGAAGGTCACAAAATAGCCAACTGTATAAATGCAGCAAAATGTGCACTATGCGCTGAAAATGGAAACTCTGAAAATGTAGCACATCATGCCGGCACTCACAGATGTCCTCTATATAGGGAGGCCATAGAAATAATAATGAACGCAAAAGCATGAAGATAATACAGCTAAACATGAATCATTGTGAGGCTGCACACGACTTGCTTATGCAGACGGTAAGAGATATGAAAATTGATGTTGCCCTCTTATCAGAACCTTACAAACATCTATCTGATTGGCCATGGGAAACGGACAGTACAACCAAAGCCGTTATTTGGTCCTGTGGCAAATTTTGTTTCCAAAATGTTGTTAACAATAGCAACGCTGGATTTGTCGCAGCATCATTAGATAGCATACATTTATACAGCTGTTACGCTCCACCTAGTCTTTCTTTGCCAGATTTTGTCGATTTTTTAGATCGTCTTGTGGAGGATGCAAAACGACACCACCCCGTAGCGATAGCCGGTGACTTTAACGCATGGGCGGTAGACTGGGCAAGTAGGAAGACTAATGCAAGAGGTAAAGCACTTTTGGAGGCCTTCAATGCACTTGACGTGGTTTTACTTAATAGTGGTGATAAACCAACCTTTGAAAAGGGCAGTGCAAGCTCAATAATAGACCTTACTTTTGTTAGCAATAGCCTCGTCAGAGGAATTTGCAATTGGGAGGTATTAGATATCTACACTGCTAGTGACCACAATGCAATCATCTGGGAAATATCAACAAATAGAAACATTAGTAGACATGCGAAAATATCTAAAGCCATTGGGTGGAAAATAAAATCTTTTGATGAAAGCGCCATGAGAGTTGCCTTAAATTGCGAACCTATAATTTCAGAACACGCAGATGAGCATACTAGAGAGCTGATGGAGAGAATAACCGAAGCCTGTGATATCAGTATGACTCGTAAACATGGCATAAATCAAAGACAATCTGTGCACTGGTGGACTGAAGAAATCAGCTCTCTTCGTAAAGAGTGCCTAAAGAAAAGAAGGATCTCTCAGCGTGGATATAGTCTCAGTAATTCTGCACAACTGGTAGTGGAATATAAACAAGCACGTAGACAACTAAATAAAGCTATCAAAGATAGTAAAGTTAGGTGCTGGAAAGAACTTTTGGATGAAGTCGAGGAAAATCCATGGGGAAGACCTTATAAGACTGTAATGTCTCGCCTCAAAAGCCAGCCAATACCTTCACCAACTTGCCCACGACTATTGAATAAAATAGTAACTACTTTGTTTCCACGACAACCTAATTTGAACTACCAGGTAACACATGTAGAACAGAATAATATTCCACTTATAACACTGCAAGAACTGATGGAAGCTTGTCATCGCGTTGGTAATAGCAAGGCATCGGGATTAGATGGAATTCCTAATATTGCCTTGAAAACATCAATTATGACATCTCCGACAATGTTTCTTAATGCATATAATACATGCCTGAAAGAAGGAGTTTTTCCACGAAAATGGAAACAGCAAAGACTAGTGCTTATTCCCAAAGGAAAAAAACCACCAGATTAACCATCATCCTACCGTCCAATATGCATGCTGGATACAGCGGGTAAAATTTTTGAAAGAATAATTCACCAAAGAATAGATTGTTCTGTAATAACACGATCATACGTGCTTTTAATAAAAATATGAATTCATTGTTCAATGTTGATCAAAGTCCAAGATCTTTTACATGAACGCGGAAGACGCCATTCCTAGAATTGACACGTACAATGCATAATATATAGAGTCGGAATTATTTGTATTAACTAGTGATGTCTTAGTCAAGACTCTAGCTAGTGATGTCTTAGTCAAGACTCTAGCCGAATGATGATATATTAAGAGTAGTCTTAGATAATCTAAGTGGAGATTATGTCTGTGAAGTAAAGAAATAAATACAGTGTAAAACATTGCAAGTGGATTTTTATTGGAACCAGAAGTTTGTCTCTTCCAGCGAATACCTTATTGAAAGGACCCATTAATCTGAAGAGAACTCTCATCAAACCAGTCGATCAAACATTATTCCTACTGCTCGACCCAAGGCATCAGGAAAGGTTGGACGGACATTATTACCATATCGTATAAAGAAGCTACTACAGTAATCCATATCCAGGACTGTGGATCTTACAACAAAAGGACCTCCAACCCATACCCGAACCATACTACCAACCCCATTATATCATTTCATGGTGTCAAGCGGTGGATTTCCTTGTAGTGAAGTGTTAGTTTTGTGAATTGTACTTGGTGAATTCTGGATCCAGTTTTCTTCGCACCCAGAGGCGGCAGGGTCATTAAAGTAAGCAGAGTATCCAGCAAGCAGCAAGACCAGGACTAGCACGAGGAACTAAAGGCACCAAAGGTGGCAGCATTACCGAGATAAACTACGCAGACAGAACTACGCAGGCAGATCAACGCAGACTTCTTGACTAAGGCTCACTCCCCAAGTAAGAAAAATCAATCCTGAACACCAGACCAGAACATCATAGTCTTTAATTTTTTTTTAAATTTTATTTGTCAATTATAATATTTATAAATATTATTTTGTCAATTTGAATTTTTTTTTAAGTATTAGGATTTTCGTTGTACTTGGGTAACATTTTTGTAACAACGGGCAGTTCGATTATTGTTCACACCACTATTATTTTGTTGACTTCACGTAACCATCAAGGTTAAGTTCAAGCTAATATTGTTAACTAAGCATTTTTTAACAAAAACAATTACGAGCATTGCCAGGTCCAAATTTCACAACAGAAATATTTCAAAGTAAAATAATTGTAAAGATTAGTAACAAAGTCATCAAGTAATAATATAAAAGACTCAGAAAGTAATATTGAAAAGTAAGTGACTCTAGTTAATGACTTTGAGTTTCCAATTTACTTTTGTAAATCTTTTTATAACGTCGCGATTTTTATTGTGGCTTTAAATGCCAGTATAAAGGCGAAATGCCTAAAGGATTTAGTGTAGCCATTGTGCCACTTTTCAGGCGATAGTGCCAATCCTTCATATCAGATAGCCTAATATTAAATTGTTCAAAAGAAACAATAGGTATCTGACAAATAAATAATTAATCAGGGTAGGAAAAACCCGAATGGAGACTCGTAAGGTTAGTGAAAACCGCGAGATCTTAAATATATTTGACGTAATTTTGATGACTTATAAAAGACTCATGAATCCGTGGGAACGAGTCCATAAAATCTTTCAAATAAATTTATTTCGTTATTTTCATTTTAGGACCAAAACACGCTCGTTGATTTTATCGATTTTATTAAATATTAAATGAGAATAAATTCCAACTATTAATGTTGAGTATATAAATAATTTTAAAATATTACATAAGAATAAAATTTTAATCTTGAATATAATATAAAATGAACTTTGAAGTTTTGTGTGAAAATAATTGAACTTGGATATGCAAATTTCAATAATAATTAAATTTAATCAACTGCCCATACCACAAAATGTTACAGAAATGAAGGGGATAAATTTAAATTAATGTCAATAATAGCAATGTAACTATCCCCATAGAACAGAATTATAAATTGAAAAAAAAAAATAGGAAAATAGAAAAAGTCCATGTTTGAAATATTGATACTAAATGACTTCATTTTAAATTCAATTCAATTTGTTGGTGCTATATTGAACGAAAAATATTTCCTAAATTTCCTCTACAAATATTATAAATTTTATTTTGAAAATTAGTAAGCGATTGAGTAAATTTGTTTTCTATTATTTGCGTAAATTGAAAATAATAATATTTTTCCTAATTGAAATTTTTATAATTGTTCACACTAATTTCGATTATTTGCGTTAATAGCATAACAAGCTTTATCATATTTCTATTTTGAAATTTGAGTAAAGAAATATCACGTAACATTCGGATTCAAACCTTAACAAGGCACGCAATACAAATTTGCTTATGATGTATTAACTTCGTTAATGTTATGAATCTTGATGTATTTTACAAAACTTTATTTTATTATTATTTAAAAATTTTGTGAAGTATTAATTGGCGTCATATTTTTATTCTATTGAAATTTCATTAATTTAATATTTTAATTTTGATTTTTGAATAATTTTATCGTAATCTATTTATTTCATTTGACATATTAATACTTTTGTAGTTGTATTTTTATTTTTATAAATAACTATGAATTTCGAGCGTTCAAAGTAGATAAAATAAAACCAATAAATTTCTTTGAAATTAATTTCTATCCACTATTTATTCACTTAAAACAAAAGTAATTTTGATGAGTAGTATCAATAATTCACATGGAAACAAAATATAGAAAAAATATATACAATAATATATTTGTATCAAATATTCAGAAATTGAAAGGCCACTCATTTTTTTTATTAATACTGACATTCTAAATTTAATAATTTCCAATTAATATTTTTATATTGTATATTTTTATAGTAAAAATAGAATGTTCAGATTAGAATTTGAAAATAAATGTTATAAAATTAAGAGGGCCCAGAAATGTATTAATGTAGAAGTATGTGACAACACACAATTATTAGATTACAAGACGAATTATCACTATCTTCCATTCCTATCTAGATGTAATGCATCAGAATGGCAACAAGTGTGCAAGCTATTTTTTAAAAATCTTCGAAGATTGATACAAGATTCTCATACAGCTTCAGTAAGAAATAATCGCGCGCGCATTTTTAAACATCCTATTAAAAATATGGAACTGAATCTGACAGAGTATTTTGATCATATTTTAAATTCGAATCAAATAAATAAATTATCATACAAAATTAAACAATTTATTATATTAAATTTGTGAAAAGAAAGAGAGATCTTGCACCTTGTTAATATTCTTATGCAAATAGAAAAATTGTTTTTATTATTTTATCGAAACTAATTAATGATAGTGATAATGGATCAAAATAATTAATTTTTAAATTTTTTAGAAGTTTTATTGATGTATATAAATCAAATAGGTCACAACTTCGTTTTTGTCTACTAATCATTTTAAAGCAGTCACACAAATTATGCAACTATGCGAATTCATATGGTATTAGATTGCATATAAGAATATCCGAATAATGTAACTAATTATTGTTTATAATATTTTGCTGTATTATCAAAATCCTACTTTTGAAATTAAACAAGCTGTTGAAACTAAATCAAAATAATTTTAATGAACTATTAAAAATCACAATATGCAGCAAAGTATTACAACAATATTAGATTTTTTTATGTTAATTTTGTTACCAATATTATCATCAGAATTGTTAACTAATTATTATATTGCAGACATACTACAAAATTTTATACTTTTACTTTTTCATATTTTGCAAATTTTCAAATTTTTCTCTCTTTTGCTATAATCAATTGTACCATAGATTACTATTTTTTATTTATCGAGGACGATAAATTGTTTTAGAGGGGAGGAATCCCAAATAAATTGTAATTTCTTTGTTTTTTTTTTTCTTTTCAATTGTTAGAGGACTAACAATATTCTTTAGGGGTGGCGTGTTCTGTAATAACACGATCATACGTGCTTTTAATAAAAATATGAATTCATTGTTCAATGTTGATCAAAGTCCAAGATCTTTTACATGAACGCGGAAGACGCCATTCCTAGAATTGACACGTACAATGCATAATATATAGAGTCGGAATTATTTGTATTAACTAGTGATGTCTTAGTCAAGACTCTAGCTAGCGATGTCTTAGTCAAAACTCTAGCCGAATGATGATGTATTAAGAGTAGTCTTAGATAATCTAAGTGGAGATTATGTCTGTGAAGTAAAGAAATAAATACAGTGTAAAACATTACAAGTGGATTTTTATTGGAACCAGAAGTTTGTCTCTTCCAGCGAATACCTTATTGAAAGGACCCATTAATCTGAAGAGAACTCTCATCAAACCAGTCGATCAAACATTATTCCTACTGCTCGACCCAAGGCATCAGGAAAGGTTGGACGGACATTATTACCATATCGTATAAAGAAGCTACTACAGTAATCCATATCCAGGACTGTGGATCTCTCAACAAACGGACCTTCAACCCATACCCGAACTATACTACCAACACCCTAATAACATTTCAAGATGCAGTAGTTGATCCAATCCTAGCAGACAATCAGTATGGTTTTCGCAAAGGGCGATCAACTATCGATGCTATAAACTTGGTAGTTAATACCGCCAAGGAGGCAATTGCTGGAACCAGATGGAAGGGGGGTTCAAAAAAGTACTGCCTTGTAGCTACATTGGATATAAAAAATGCTTTCAATTCTGCAAACTGGGATTGCATTATGAATGCACTCCGTGACAAGAACGTGCCAGCATACCTATGCAATATAGTCGCAAGCTACTTTACAGACAGAATTCTA